AAACCCAGCCAGATAACGTCACAGAATCTACCATAGATTTTCTAGATAGTATAGATTTTTGCTCTTTGCGGTGCTTTGTGCTTTTATACCCGGGCATCAAAAGTATGTAAGCACTTACAGGCTCATATGGCCACGCGAAATAAGGGTATAGTGACGCGCAAGCCGAGGGCGAATTTATGGTCGAGCAACAAGCTGCACGCACACATGCCAACCCTGAAAGTAACATCATGGTCGCGCCGCGCAGGCATTGGCTAAGGTATCTAACATTACCAAACTAAGGTGTAACAACCACCTATATCTTTAAGCGCTCCGCTGTATACATCAACCCTCTTACCCTATAACCTTGTTACTTCGCTTCCAGGCGTTTCAGTAAACAAAAATTTTAACTTCCGCTAAACTTTAGAAAATACCCGCTCCTAATATTTATGCAGCTTTAACTAGACTATAATATGCAACTGTTGATTAAATTATCCACAATGGAGTTATAATTGTCTGTTAATGCTTTAATAAAAGTAGGTTAAGGCTGATGGGTTGATCCACTTCCGGCTAAAATATGACGAACTCAATATTCGCGACATTATTTATTCAACTTGTGCACTACACTACATGACGCATGAATATTCAATATCCCTTGCTGCATGATCCAATATTCAATACACCGCGTGCTACTATTAAATAATGCTGGCTAAGTACATCATCACGTAACTGTGAATCGCTTTTTCAAACGTAATTTAATCACTAGTCCCCTAACGTTCAGCGATAATGGGAAACCAGAAGCTGGAAATTGGATAAAAGATTACTTGGCGACCATTTGCATCTACATGGATAAAGTTGGGTTACTACGTTAACGCCAAACGGGCGAGACAATTCGACACTCGGTACTTTGCCAGCAAACGCCAGCGAATTCTCAACGCGTAGTGAGCACTTGATGACTTGAACTCTTGGATGAAAGGAACTGTCTTGCCTTTATGCACTTTCTGTAAAGTTCTCCCTGCGCTGCAGTTTTTGCTTCAAACGCTTATATTCAATGAAATCTTTCGTTTTATCACTTGCAACGTGTTACAGGAAACTACTCACTTGTGTAACAAGGTATTTGCTTACAAACTGTTTACTTCCGCGTGAAACTTTAAATATAAAAACTTTATGAAATTTTATAAAATTTCATTAAAAATAAAAATATGAAATTATTAAGAATTATAAATTACTATATAGTTTGCTAAAACTTTTTAATATGCTCTTTCTAATCACTTTATAATTAAAACATAATGCATTTTGAAGTTGAGGAAGGCAAGCACGCCAAGTAACAATACCGAGCATTGATTAAGTATTTAATTATTCAAGAAGGGCAACTTTACTTTACTGCGAAGTTTGATTATAATTACCACAAGGTTTTACAAAGAATTTGGCTGGATTTTTTTGTGTTATTTAACAAAAACTGCTATAAGTGTTAGTAATTTGTGTAACAGACTGTTCTAAAATTCTGACAAGTATATTGCTTGTCTTCACCAAGTTGCCGTAATTGTGTTTTGTATTTCGGGTACAAAGTTCTTTCAACACAAATTACTCATTATATCAGAGCTTTCAATCAAGCGTGACGCCTTTTTATTGAAAGGAAAGCCTATCGAGAAAAAAATTATGATTGATCAAAGCAAAACACTGCAATTTATATTCAAAGTAACTGATTAATATCAAAATCCGAAATCCTTAATAATAGTTTAATAGGGGTAGTATTTTATATAGCTTTACAAAACCCACTATTGTTGATTTTTAATAAGTAACAACTTGTTGCAAATACAATTAATGTTGGGATTGTATATTTTAATCCCGTTTCGGTCAAGGCATTTTCTTTGTTCTTGTCACGGTTCCATGGCTACGCTTGCCTTGCCAATTTTCCATGGACGAATCGAGATCCAAGCTTTGTGGTTTCCCGGATCCATTGAATTAGGTACTAAAACAATATACAAATAACATTTGTTCATCCCCACAAGGCCGACCTTTCCAAAAATGTACCTCTCTAAAAGTTAGAAGTTAGAAACCAACGAAAGAAAACCTTGGTTCTTTCGTAATTTACTTAGTCGCGATGCCTTGTTTCCTAATTCAACCGACAGACAGCAGATAAATCGTCATGGTCTGCACACAGAAAAACACAACAGCATACAGAAAGAAGACAATATTTGATCGCGGAAAAAGGTAAAACTCGGAAAAGCGAATCTCAAACTTAAACTCGACATTGTTCACTTCTGGTTGCACTGCTTGTCGCTTGGGAAAATGCGGGAAAAGTTTGATTCTGGCGGGAATGGTTTTGCTCGACTACTGGTGAATTTACGTCTACGTGCAGGATGGAATTTAAAGCAGCGCGCATAAAATGGTAGGCGGGTGAAGAAAGCAAGCGGAAAGTATGCTGACATGAAAAATAAAACACAAACCAAGGTGTGGAAAGGAAAAAGTCTGCGTGCATACACTGGCAAAACTGTTAAAAAAGTTTCAAATTGAGTATTAAATTTTTCACGCAGAACCACATAAAATGCTCGTTTTTAGGGAGGTTTACCCATAGTAGCATTGGAAATTTGAGAAGCAGAGTCAGTTTCAATTAAAATCGTTGTTTTATTGTGGCCTTCATATTTATATTGATTGTGACTTGAATGCATCAAAACGAAATTTGATATTCGATTGGCATGGTGAACCAGGAAGGTTTTCCGGTATACGGTTACCTGATTTTGCAACGTTATTAATTTTCGAACCTTTTTCAATGATACCGCGGATGAAATTTAATTTCATATTCAATATTCTGAAATAATTCACTAAATATGCATTGTAATAATATTTTCATACAGAAATATTTCATTCTACATTTTTACTAAAAGTAATATAAATTTAAAATAGTAGATAAAAATAGACATTATGCAACCGAGGAAAATTTACAACTCTTTGCGCGGCAATTCTTCATTCCCTCTTGCCTTTTTCATCTATCTCCTAGCACATCTATTATGGCCGCTGCTGGAAAAAAAGAAACGATTTTCCGGTTTGCTTTACCCGGCTTACATTACGCTTTGCGGTGCGGCGTTGCGTTTCGTCGTCTTGTGGATTGCGATGCTTCTAGCCGAGGTATTTTCAAACCGCGCACCTGTAGGATCACACAATCACTGTACAACGTTCTCGCCCTTTTGTACTTCAAATCACTTTTGAATCTGCAGCCTCACTGCCACAACCACAACATTCAACACTATTGAAGGTCGAATTTCAACTGGGAAGCAAAAATAAGCCAGGATTCTCGGAAAACTGCAGAAATTTCTATCCAAATGATTTAATATTATTTTGCTTCTTTTGCTTGATACTTGAGTATTAAAATATTGCTACAATAATAAATTCAAAGAAAAAATTATTATTTGACTTTAACACAGAATAAAACATGGAATTTATTAATTTTCATCAGAATTATTCATTATTCACATTTTTCAGAATTGTATTCTGTTAATTACCTACACAAATGAACCGTTGGTTTATTTCACTTGAATTCTAATTCGTATATCACGTGTCGCAATTATAACCCTTTTCGCTTTTTTCTAAACTCAAATTATATGTTTGGCATTTATAAGTATAGAGCACAACCCCATTCACATTTATCAAGATTACTAATATGTGCTTGCCGGTTTAACGATGTAACAACTTGAATAATGCGTCTACAATACGTCCCAGGTCTCAACACTGTGCGCATTTTTACGAAATTAATAAATTTCTCAAATTGCCACAACATGGCAACACATTTGCTACGGCGCAACTAAAATATATGACTCCAACAAATAAGTATGATGATAAATGGGTAAACGGTGGCCGGAACGCATAATTTTAGGAAACTATGTAGTTTCTTTGAGCGGACTGCATTCATCATTCTGCTCTAAGCGTACATTCACATTCATAAACATAGTTGCAGCGAACAATACACTAGCCTGCGGCGATAAAGCGCCCATCGTTTATGAGAAACTGCAGGAAGGAAACTCGTGAGGTGGAAGCACGAAAGGGTAATGTTTACAACGATTCGAAATGCGCAAACATTTTACCTTTACTGCGAGTACCATCGGGACAAATGGCCAGTTTAATATCGCGTTAAAAATTCAGAAGCCATTCAATGTTAACACGTTTAAAAATAAAATAATAAAGCATTGAAATTTTATTTGAACATTACTATACTACTACAACATTCAAACATAATTGATCAATTAACTATCCAACATTTGTTTTTATAGATAAATACATTTAGAAAAGTAGTTCAGTGAAGTAAACACTTGGTAATTTCAAGTATAAAATTTAAAAGTTATTAAAAACATTTTTATCGCATGTAATACGATGTTTAATATTCAAAGCACTTTCCAAATGTTATATTTTCTTTTTTCTGAGGACTAATTAGATGATACGTGTCAATTTGTCAATGACTAATACCAAACTAGTGATGATGATTGATACGAAAGCTTTAAATAATCAAATAGGTATTATGAGCGTAGCCAGAATGTTCGAATTTATTATTCTAACTTTTCCCCTGATTTAGGAATCACCCAGTAAAAGATATAAAACTATTTAGTAACTAAATAAAGCAGCATTTTGCGTAGTATATTCGCTCTGAAATAATTTTAGTATCCTTTAACTACGGGGAGTGACGAAGTTGATATTAAAAGTTAGACGTGATTTGATTTGGTCTCGTGCAGTTCGCCGCGGCCGTCGTACACAATGCCGTTGCTCGTCGGTGTTTGGCTAAGCTAATAAAGGGTCAATCAGAAGCAGTTGTCAAGTTTTGACATCTATCCCTAGACAGGAAATGATCCATTACAAAACAAAAGAGAGAACTCCGCTCGCGCTCCAGGCCCGAGGCGGCGCATTGCGACCACAAGTCCCAAGCCGCCGACCGAGCGACTTCGAATGACGCGCAACAGCGGTTCGTTGGTGAGGCGATACACAAATTTATCCAGCAACGATCATATCAAGGTTACTCCTAATAATAAAGTAGCTAAAAACGAACGTTAGCCGTCGCAGTTTTGCGCATCGTCGTGGTTGTTGATTTTTTTGCGACGCGGGCGCGGATTACACTTTGTCACTTCGACGAACACTCGAAAGCAATATAATCAATTCAGACCTAATCAAATATTTATGGGTGTATGTCCTAGTCGACCGGCAGTGCTTAATAAAAGTTTAATTTAAGTGCTTCGTCCCTTGACATTTAAGGATTCAACGCGCACGACGTCAATAAAAGTAATAATTTCACTGAAAAATTATGATATTAAAATACTTGTGATATTTAAACTGAATTGTGCAGCCATTCACTTTGGAATTTTCCACTTCAACTGCGTACTTAATTAAAAGGTTTTCTTAGAATTTTATTCAATCATTTTTGTTTGATTAATAATATATGGCGCGTAATGGATTGCAAAAAAGTAAAGGCGTTGTTTTTCTTTTCTTTCGCTGGTCCTAGCCACTGCATCGATTTCTTATTTGGTCTCTAGAGTGCTGCAACGGTTGTTTGCGAGGTTCATCCATAAATTCCTAAAATACATAAAACAACAACTTCTTTCACTGGGGCCTTCTATTATTAGTCCAATTAAAATCTGCCACCCACCATTCTTACTCGCAGTTAACATCTCAGCTGCATGTTTGGCTATAACGCTAAATTTAAAAGGATATGCACATAATATTATCTTGTCGCTGAATTACGCAACGAAAATTTGCATACTTAACTCGACACGAGTGTATGTTAAGGGAATATTTCATTATGAAAGCCGTGCATTGGAATTTACGCAGCGTGCTAGTTTAATATTAGAAAACGATAGTGTTATCATTCATTAATGGCCTCTTGGTATAGTAATAGATTTTATAGGTCGTTATATTATGCAAATAAATATTCTAGTATATGGTAGTAATATGCTTAACGGGAAAGACAAAAAGTGACATACGGGAATACAAGAGGATTAAATTGTACAAAACAAAGTTTATAATATTTTCATTTATGTCAACGGAGCATTAAAACATTAATTATTCACTTTAAAACTGCATTTTGTTGGTGCAAGTTAATCTATCCTCAATTTTAGAATAAAATTTTAATCAATTTTTCATTAAACGTAAATCAATTTCGAATGAATTATAGAAACATGCTGTTACTAATCCAACAATAACCAGGACAAATGAAAATACGAATCGAAAGCGCGCCCTTCCATTGTGTGGTACTGAAAGGCAATAAATTTTGATTAATGTTAAGCTTTCAGTATATTACTCGCAGGAAACAGTCACACACCATTAACAGGCTTTGCAATTTTATGAAATATGTAAGTACAATGAATTGTACATTATGTTTCGTCATTTAGGGTACTAATTAATTTATAACACCTCCCCCAGGATCAATATAGCTAATATATATCAAATTTCCGATTAACAAGGAAATTGCGCGTTCGTCACGTTACCTTAGGATTGAGCTCGTAAAACAATAAGTTTTGTAGACATGTACTAGTAGAGTATATTGGAGAGGTGCTCAATAATTAATGGTCCATTAAACATTGACTGAACCTGGAACAACATGTTGATATTCTTTGGCGATTTATTGATTGTGGCGCAGAACGTGTGGCGCCGTTTTGTAATTTACGACTCGTTCGCCGCGTGCGCGTTCTCTACGACCATTAAACGTATTAAAACACCGCGGGGGAATGAATTCGCAAAGTCGGCTCTCGACGCGGTTGATGCGAGCTTTGAACAAGCAAGCAATTAAGTTTTATTGCACGTACCGTGTGATTTTGCGCCGTTCAACACGATTTCGTGGGTGACTAACGCATAATTCTCTCAACAGCAACTTTTCTTTCATTATGCCCCTGTTGATCACGAAGGGTGTACGTATACACCTAGTTTACGTGGCTTACAAGACAGCGTTATAAATTAGGCCGAGACACGCCGGTGTATGATGGAATAAACATCGACGAACCCATAAATGTTAATGCGGTACAAAAGTATTATGCGTGTGTGTTTTTTTACTTGTTATACTTCGTAATGTCACTGCTAGCAGAATATTCTGATAGAAAACAATGCTAGCTCGTAGTGTGCTTGTATTCATTTACTTAATTGCTTAATTAATTAAGAGCACGGCGCGTGATGCGCGATAAGTCGCTAGATGGAGCGTGTATGAATATTCATATCATTTGTGAGGCAATTTGTATGAATTGAAATTTCATGGAAACTAGTGTTATTGAATATATATGATGTTATAAAATTGCAACAACAGGATACATTTGCGCAGTATGTATTCGCTAGTGGCTTGTTACAGAACAAGCACATTTTATGCATATTAAAATATTATGCAATGTGGTTTACTCTAAAATACCAATAGACATAATTTTACCGGAATAATAGTGATATTGTTCAATGCGGTAAGATTCACTTTGTTTGCATCAACGTGTTCAAGGTGATGAGGTGTGAATTGTTAGTTTGAGTGAGTGTGAGTGTACATGGAGATACAGTCGAACACGACATAGATTACAACCATGTAAAACCAAAACAACTTTGGTATGGCGTGATTTTCGTGTTCAATGCACACAGACGCACACTAGTATAAATGTTATTCCAATTAAAATATTGGTACTTTATGTTCACTTTATTTAGAATTATAACGGAAGCATAAATTAAATTGTACACTGCACAAAAGTTAATTGATTTCGCTCAATGATTGGAGGCAATTTTAATTAACGCGGATTAGTGTGAATGGTCAAATGTGTAATTTGATCACAAATAGTTTACGCAACGCGCCTGGTTCGGTGGAAATATAATTCTGGCGGCCGAGGCCGATTACGGTTTGGCTTTATTAGGCCTTAGGCTTACTGAATGCTCTACAATGTGGCGTGTCCAATGACTATATATTGGTCGAAACCAACTGGGATTATATGATGTAGAGTTTGTATAGACACGCTTTGCATAGGAAATGAGAAAATAGGCTAGTTTTGATATGTATCTACAATGTTCATAAATGTACAATTGAAACATGATCGTAAAAATATCACGAAATATTAAGGATGCATTTTTTTCAATTGCAGATTGTTCCCCAGACTGATTGTGATGGCATAGCCGGCGTTGTCTGACTCCCAGCGAGCATGGCCAGAGTGCGGGTGGTCAGATGGGCGTGGGCAGTGTTGGCTGGACTGTGCGCTCTGGCCACATGCGAGGTAAGACTATTTTTCATCATTTCTCGTCTGCCATAATCAATAAAACAACAAAGGCATAAGATTACACTTTGCAATAACTCCCTGCTATATAGCTACGTAACATGCTTCGTAATACATCTGCTTTCATTTCCACTAATGAAAATGTGGTTTGATGTGTGAAAACTGAAATATCACGGAATGAGAAAAACATGTTTTTCGAAATGCCTCTGTATTTAACTATTTAAACGAGAATGAAATATGAATTTGCCGGCGTAAATTAAGTTTAATGAAACAACTTACTGTGCTAATGGAATTGGTAAAATTAAACCCCAAATTAGTCGGTGCGAAATTCTTTCATGGGAACCGGGGCGGAGGAAATGTGCGCACAGGAAGAAAGTGGAACGTGCCACATACAATTGTATGTTGCTATGTATGTAATTATAAACAGCGCTACCAGTCGTTGTGTAATTTATACACAATCGAAGTCGCATTAGTAAGCCATGCACGTGCGAAATGCGGAAATGCCATGTAAAGCGCAACCCAGGCGTGTTTCTTAATTACAAAATAAATTGTATACCTACTAGCAGTTTGGCATTTCGCCTACTTCGCCTTTCATGTCCAACACTTTCTTTCCCTTCAGTCAAACACAATCACATGACACATCGATAGGAAAATTTCTTTACTGACCACTGAAACCAAAATGACCCATTTTTATTTTCTAAGTAATCTTAAATCAAATATGCATTTTAAACAAACTGTAGCAAGCGGTATAAATGCTTAATAGGATTGCAACGTCTTCCGGCGCCATTGACGCTGGGGTTGCATATCGAATTTGAAATTTCCCGGGCGAAACATCCGCGTTGTATATAGATACCACCTGGGTCATCAAACCTTAATCACCAACGGGATTTAGGCAACACACGGAGCTGTATGTAGCCTGGATAAAATTACGGCATACCTATGAAGGTGTCGGGCGAATAATGGAGGGTTAAATAGGTACTAAATGCCTGCAAAAACGAGAGGAGCTAGAATGGAAAATCAATAAGCAGCGAGGAGTAAAGTAGCACGTACGGACTTGCAACTATGGCATCCAATTGTTTTGCTTTCATTCCCGGCGACGTACTTATTTTACATCTGGACTGGAATAATTCAATTTAATAAAAATGCACGCGTCACTTTTAGTTAAACTTTGGCGCAATTTATAACAAAGGGGGAATTATGTGATTAAAAAACACAATGGTAAATTCGTGGTAAACATACTTGACGTTACGTGACTAAGCATAATTTACACTTTTTTATCTGTATTTTGCCCGACAATATGGATTTTCTACGTTTTACATCACTGAAGCCTAATTTAATTTGTAGTTATCAAGTTTATCTTAATAGTCAATTTTAGTGCAATATAGCAGCAAACAAAATGTCTATATTTTAATATACTCCTTGTTTCTTCTAATTTCTCTTCTTTTTCTTCTTCTAATATTACTTAAATACATTTTCATTTATTTTTATCTTTACGTCAGAAAAATACAATCCACGCATATCATATTATTAATATTACAGTTAATGATACATAATCGTAAATATCTTGGCGTTAAAAGATCGCTAATTTCCTCTTTCCTTTAAATTAATTTCCGCCTCCCCTAATAACGTTAATCGTATTACGTCATTTCAGTATATCAAATATACAATTTCAGCTCTGGGTGCTAATATAAAAAGTACGCTCAGTATTAGATAATAAAATCGTACGCTAAGAGTCTCGGTGGCAAAAATTTATCGTGCTAAAAGAGCTAAATTAACGCTCGACTCTAAAATGATACATTATTTCAGCCTTGTGTATTTTATAATTATATAAGGGGTTGATGAATGGCGCGTTTAATTAGAGCAGAAAACGCAGCCCTCTATACGAAGCGATATTAGTGTTGAACGCGTATCCTTTTCGGTGCTGGTAGCTTTTACGTGTGTTTAGGGGCTGCCACCCCCAGGGATATGACGCGTTTCAAGGATATTTCAATTCTATATATATATAAATATATACCACTAAGGCAGGAAAGTGTTTGCACTCGTATCCGTGTAAAAAATACACCCTTCCCAAAAAACGGACATGAATTAATAGTCCTATCGTTTTTTTTTTGTGTGGTAGAAGCAAACAGCGCCTCCTTTATTGGCTTGTACATGAAATGTGATTTTCGTTTACTAATCATCCCCTGAACATTTTTGTACGTGAATATAGCGTATTGTTGAATGTGTGCTAAGCCAGTGAAAAATATAGAAAGATTATTGATTTTTCTGTGCTCGAAAAGGTTGAAAAAGTTACGGGAAATTATGACGTTATTTTTAATTGCTTCACTGAAACTGAAAAATTAACAATTCTAAATTTATATGTTATAACAGATGACATATAATAAATTTTAAAACAAAATAAAATACAAATGTACGACGTAGGTAGTTTATTTAAATTATTTTTTGTTATAAATTGTATAACTTTATATAAAACATATGTATTTGTTAATTGAGTTGTCGAATGCGTTGATGTTTCAGGTTCAGCAGCAATGTCCAGCACGTTCGGACATTTCACCATGTGCGTGTTCCGTGAAGAAGAACGGACTGGATATCCTTTGCGAATTCACCGATCAGACTCACATCAGCAGCGCGATGAGCATTTTAAAGGGAAGGCCGCTCGTTATCTTTTATTTGAAGCTGCGTCACAACAACCTGCGCAAGCTGCCCGGGTTCGTCTTTCTCGGTCTGGACATCCGCCATCTTACCATACACAACAGCAGTCTATCTGTCGTTGAGGAAGCATCGCTCAGTTCAATAGGTACGCAATCAAATAACATTGTGTTCATTCTCTAAGCAAGTCAACGAAGGGCGTCAAGTCAATTTCAATTGATTGATTCCCGACCAACCATTTACGCTCGCTGTTGTTTGGTTATATACACAAATGCACCCTCAACAGCTTTTGAAGTCAGACCGGTAGTCGATTAATTGATGGTTTGTTTACTTAGGTAAAATGTTGACCCAGTTGGATGTATCGCAGAACAGTTTGACAATGGTGCCCTCGACTGCGTACAAGAACCTCCATCAGTTATTGATACTGAACATGAATCACAATAAAATCGGAAGTTTGCCAGCGCGAGCGTTCCATGGTTTGGACACGTTGGAGATTCTCACTTTGTACGAAAATAAGATCACCAACATCGATCCTGAAGCATTCGCTGGCTTGGAAAAGTAAGACCGCAGTTTAAAGCAATTTGTCTTTTCCTTCTTGGAGTCGTTGCAACGTCAGCTTAATCCCTCCGACATTAAAATCCAATATATTTTCTTGCTTCTTGCCTGTATTTGTCTGTATCTTAGCGTATTATATATTTTATGAAAATAATGCCAACAATCAAAACCAGGAGTAATACTTTTATAAATAACCCTCTTATGTCTTGCGTAGGAAACTAAAGCGATTAAATCTGGGCGGCAACGGCTTGACGGTGGTTCCGCAAAAGGCGCTTTCGATTCTCGATATGCTGAAGAAGCTTGAGATGCAAGAGAACAATCTGACGGAAATAAAAGAGGGCGACTTTAAAGGTAAAAGGACTTTTTTGCATACCAAATTCAAGCGGCAACCCCAAATTTGCATTTTCTTCCACAAATTCCTTTGCTTTTCGTGGTATTTCCATCAACTTTTCGGCGAAATAAACTTTGCAACATGTCAAAACAAAATTGCATACTGCGTTGATGGGTGAATGAATAAATCATGATATGACTTAGGAGTACACGAACATTTAAACCCACAAATTTAAACAATTTTCGGCTCATTTCAACAAGCATGCTATTTTTAACACAATTATTTTGACATCAAAATTTTCTAAAGAATGATTTTTGCATTTATTTTAACACGATATTGTTGGGTTTCATTCTCTTTAAAATCTGGACTATTATTCCAATTCCTAAAATAACTTTCTGTAATCAATAAATTCTGCTTGTATAAAGATAGAACTTGATAAATCTAAATATAAAGCAATAGACTATTTAAATCAGAAAATAAGAAACTTTTCCAAACAAAATCAAAGCAAAACAATTCTTAGTGAACAATTTCCAATTACAGGTTTACGGAATTTGGATTCGTTGGGATTAGCACACAACAAATTAAAGCAGATACCGCCGCGCGTGTTTTCTCATTTGAAGCTGCTGAACTCACTCGAATTAGATGGCAACAAGATCGACTATATCGACGACGACGCGTTTGCTGGATTGGAAGGTAAATAAAATATTTGCTTTCGCTCACATATACGTGAATCAAACAAAACAAAAACTGAACAAATTCTTTTAAGTAATGAAACGTCCGTGCTATTGGTTGGATTTACACACAAACAAAAATATTTTATTTATAGAACTAGAGTTTCAATCTAACATGAAGTTTTAGGTGTTTAAAATAGGGTGACTATTTTATGTACATTTTATATTTTACCCTCTAGTTAGATATTGGTAGTGCGACTGTGCCTTGAATAGAGCAAAGTTCTATATTTAAACTTGGCGAATGTTTAAAGAGCTAACTTTATTCAACGTAGTGGACACAGTAAACGGTAAATTGTTTTGTACTTCATGTATGCCCGCTTGGTAGCAACTGCTGTGGTCATATGTTAAGAAAATTTTATATTTTCCTGGTGGGTGGCTGTAGATTTTTTTCACTTCCATCGACATTTACCCGCGGTCTAGCGTTACAATGTTCAGTTGAGTGACGCTGTGCAGTTCGTACATTTGTACTTTTGACCCAGTTTTCGGCGTCCGTCGTTTTTGGATTTTGTGAATGCGTTTACATACCTTCCCACTCAACTTTAACGTTCACCCTTTGCACTCTCTGGTGTGCTTATCGGTGTGGATGCTTATTTAAAATTCTTGTTGCTTCAAATAACGCACTAAACACACGGGTTGAAATAAAAACAAAACGTGAAGGGCTGGTGCGATGGTAGTAACTGGAGTGGCAAAAAAATGAACGCAGTTTTTTATGCTGCACGGTTGCACAATTCTTCACAATGTAATTAATTCCACGCGAGTGCAAACGTTAATAACGTTGAAATTAAACACCAGCGGAAGGTGTTTTCTGTAAAAGATGCTAAAAGATATATTCATGGCTGCGGTGAAATGAAATAAAAACGTAAGGACATAATTGTGATTTCTGGCTCTCGTGATTTGTTATAATCATGGGAATTTTGCTTCCAGTGCGCTGGTGCTACTAGACAAATCTTTATCTAGATTTATGTTTAGTACCGCATTATTTTTTGCACTCACCTGACTTTTATGAGTATATAACATTTTGTACCGAAACAAAAATACGGAAAATGCTTGGTTCGGAGATACATTGTTATTCAAAATGAATGAAACAAAATAAATGAATGAATAGGAAGAGTAAAACATTATCACATTAGGAATGATCGATGTCTGTGGGAACATATGGTATTTCCTTCCGGGTGTTGATAAATGATATACGTTTCCAGTGGCGCTGTTCCGTGCGCAAATATTGATGCTCCTGATGATGTTTTTACGTTCCGGCTTATATGTTAGATATCATATAAAACGAATGTATTTTGCAGAGTATCTGCAATATCTGCGCTTGGGTGATAACAACATTCACACCATTCCCACAAACGCCCTCCGACGGCTGCATCGACTGCGCCATTTGGATCTACGTTCGAACAACATCAGCACGATTGCCGAGGACGCGTTCACTGGCTTTGGCGATTCGATAACGTTCTTGAATCTGCAAAAGAACGAGTAAGTGCGTCAAATAAATGTCTCCTGAATCGTCGAATCGAACTGCGAAAACAATTGCATTCGAAACATTGAATACACTGAAAATTCTATTTGATTTCCATATGGTTTGCTAACATTCTATTCACTTTAGCAAGTTTTCGTTGTCGTTCTGATTTTCTATCTAGATTTTTTTGTCTCAGTAAGTAATACAAAACGCGACAAGTGCCGCCAATGCTAAGCGAAGCAACTTTTTGTGTGAATTCCACCTTTTTCGTGTTGGATTTGCTAAATTTATATTCCTTTACGTACACTGGAAACATTTTGCCCACACCCGCCGTCGCAAAGTGATTTCCGCTCAGTGGTTACAGCTTGCGCGATGGCGGTGAACAGTTGAGTGTCGACGCATGATTTTGTATAAATTTGCATTTCTATTTTGCCGACAGCATTAAAACCCTGCCTACGCTCGCGTTCGAGAATCTGAATTCGTTGGAAACGCTCAATCTCCAGAACAACAAGCTGATGCACATCCCAGAGGAAATAATGGAACCCGTTGTCGACACGTTACGTGTCATTGATATCATGGGTCAGTAGCAAAAATCGCTTTTATTATGCGCATCGAGCCTGCGAACCAACTAGTTTTACTTATTTATGCAAAGTATTGCATTTGTGTCAATCTGAATAATTCCCAATCTGCAATGGAAACAGATAAACAAACGAATGAAGTATTGATTTTTATTTTATTTAGATAATCCTTTGGTGTGCGACTGCGACCTGCAATGGTACAAGAATTGGTTGAAAAATCTTCGCGACAAGGAGGATGAGATGATGCAGAAGAAACGCACGGTGTGCATGATGAATCACGAGCATCGCGAATACAGCCTGCAAAATTTGCCGCTCGAGAAGATGAATTGTGTGATCAAGTCGTACGAAGGTTCGTCGACGAACACTGCGGTGGGCTACCGGGCCAACGTCGGCTTAAGCGTATGGATAATCGCCGTGTGCGCGGTATTTTAAATCCTTGCTACCGGGAGAAAAGCTTTGCAATAACACGAAAATATATTTCGTGCAGTAAATAGCCACCGACCCATTCGGGAAAGTATACTTTTAAATAGCATGATGGAAAGCTATATGAAAACCAAACAAAAACATATCACGCATTACATGCAACTAAATGTTCTTTGCTTCTTATAACTAACGTTACAATGAATATTTAACTGTGTAGTACTAGCTATACGTAAGCGTAAAATGGTACAAGCACCTTCGAACTTTTACAATTTTGCGAAAACGCCAAAAACATTTTCAGCAGAGCTTAATATAACGCAGATGACAAAAAATTATAAATCAGTACATATCGTGAATAAGACCCACCGACATCTTTGTATTTGTGATGTTGGTGGCGTTTTTGCCAATTTCGGAATACATATCAAGAATGACGTGAATACAAACACTTGCACACGTTTGACGAGCGTATGACTGAATTCGTGTGGTGACACAACACATATCTATTTACCTGTGCACATTAAGATAAAATAAGAGTAAATTTATGTCGATCCACCTGCTAATACCCATCTATTATCAGAAAACTTCGTGAGTATCCCAATAGAAAATTAGCATATTGACGTATAGTGAATGTAATATGCGTATGCAAACAACGTAAATCGATACATTAATAGATTCATGTGTAGAAGTCGCTCGCCCTAGGATTGACTACACCTTTATTAATGTTGAGATCAGTTTACAATTTCTCCGTCTTAGAAAACTCTAAATGTACATGCACATTCTATACTAACCACTTTAAAAACACTTTAATCGTAACAATTACATTACTATAGCTAGCTTAATATTTTCGTGCATTTTGTCTTCAAATTAAATCGGTACGTTTTACATCAGCATTTCAAAGCCTCACACCGGGTTACAAAGACTTATTGGGATACGACGGGCCTACATATCAAAAGGTGGATTTGATTATAATAAATAAGCATAAACAAGTTAGGTGTAAGTGTCTATCATGTTAATAAAAACAACGCACTTTCAGTGCCGCCCGAATTGACTATGTTCGTAAGCGCATGCGCGCTTTGCTTTGAGACAGGGAAGCGGATTTATTCGTTTCTTGAGCATATCGCGCATGCATACTGCGGCATTCCATCATTGTCTAACTTATAGTATTCAAGAATTAACATAAAATTGCATGCGTTTGTTTAAATATTAAACCAAAAGTAACAACTATAGAATGAGATACTACAACAACACGCACTAACACACTCTTTTTAGTGATAAATTTTACTCATGTGAGCTTCTATCATATCATTACTGTTAATTAACGTATTAAAATTTAATGAATCATAAAATTTAAATGCATAGTTATATTGTCATGCAATTAAATTGCATAAACATAAATAATATATTAGAATATTTAATAGCCAGTGAAAATCTAAACGGGCTTTTGTGTAAGTTACACGTTTATTATTGTATTGCGGAAGGATATTGAATGAGGTATTTTTGTGGTAATGTTTAAAAACAAAGCGAAGCGTACGTGTAGTGAAAACATTCTGGAGCATCCGCATTCGTGGTTTTTACTTTGAATATCGCTGATGTTGCATGTGAGCAAAATTGTGTGATATTTCGAGTAACACCAGTTTAGTTGGGTGAATCCTAGACCATTTCGAAACATATCCAAGTCGCGATCGGCAAAGCTTTGCGTTGCTATGACATCACGTACCATTGCAAGCAATGGCAAATAATCTTAGAGAAATATTTTCAATATTCTCAACGCCTAGAACAGCGCCAGAATACCAGCAGGGCTACTAAGAACAAAGGCAATGAGTGACTAAAACGAAACATAATCATTGAATATTTTTCTATTTATATAAAATATAATTAGTGTCAGGTCGTTATCAACATACCAACGCAAAGCGCCGGTCGGGCTATTTTTTCTACAAGTTTACCACGAAAACAAAATGTGTTTAGTGTAATATAAGATATATAATATATTGATGAAGATAAGAAAATGTTTATGTATACAAACAAGATGAGCACTAATGTATTAATTATAATTGCATACGATTACTAATTAATTAGGATGTCTATCTGTAACACTAACTCTGTGGCTGTTGTGTTTCTGTCATTATTATCGTATAAATTTAAATGAAACATTACATAAAGTATAAAAAGGGCATGGAAAAGTCTTTTACTACTTATTCCCAATTATTTAACCAAATATAGATTTTTTAGGAATTAATTCGAACATTTTTAAAACTCCGATAAATCGTTTCATAGTTTTTTTTAAGGTTGTTTTTATCCTTTAAAAGTTCCTTTACTTATAATTGTTTTCGACCGTGGCGTAGGCTTGGTTTGTGCGTAAACAATTTTTTTTGCGTCACCTTGCGCATGTACTTCTGAACTCGGCCGATTCGAATGCGATTCAGTCTGTCTTTACCGGTGCGCGGCGTGAGACGTTTGTGCGGTAGGTTAAACTAGGAAAATTTATATATCCGACACCTTAATTTATGAGTGCGTGAGTTTTGTATTATTGGCAAACGACAGCCGCAAGAAGAAAATATACGTAATGGCTTTTTTGTTAACGATAAGCTGCGTGCGATTAGCAATTTACACTTATTGCACAGAACTGTAATTTAAAATTTACTTCACCAAGTATTCAGGTACTTTAGCAAGCAAGTAAAAAACATTGATCTGCAGCAATTCTTGAAACGGGAAATAATCCATTACACTATACACTGGTAAGTTTGTAACTTAGCAATTTTTCCGAATTTATCAAAACATGTGGTGGAAAACAGGTTATATCTCGGAAACCCGTCTTGATATTTTAATTGTGTCTTTGGATCCTCTTAGGGTAAGAAGCGATCTAAAAGTTGCAAATGAGCTACATTGCGAAATTTTGCCTTAACTGCCTCGAAATAATCGCCAAAGAACAGCAATTCGTTGGTTGCTATCTCTTTTAGTTTAAGAGATATTAATTATTATTAATTATTGCCCCTTGGCAATTTTTTCTTAAGAATTAAAATTTCATCTCTCAGATTTCCGTTTTATCTATCCTATCCTATAGGGAATAGTCCGTAAATTAGGACGCTGCAATCAGATCTTAATTACCTCTTTTAGTTTACGAGATATTTGCGATAGAAAAAAATGGACAAAAATTGAAAAATATCACTTTTTAGCACTTTCAGTCACGTTTATCGACCTTTTCTATTAGAAATATATTTATTTTATATTTTTATCATGATAGAGAATTTTCCAATCTTTCATAATCAGCAATTTGTTGGTTGCTATCCGTTAGTTTAAAAGATATTAATTATCAAAAAATCATCGATAAAAATTATCAAGCACCCCCCTCCTTGGCAATTTTTTCTTAAGAATTAAAATTTCATCTCTCAGATTTCCGTTTTAACTATCGTATCTTATAGAGAATAGTCCGTAGATTAAAACGCTGCGATCAGATCTTAATTATCTCTTTTAGTTTACGAGATATTCGCGTTTGAATAAAATGGGCAAAAATTTGAAAATGTCACTTTTTAGTACTTTTAGTGGCGTTTTTTGACCTTTTACTGTTGGAAATATAATTATTTAATATTTTTATCTGATAGAGAATTTTCCAATCTTTCAGAATTAGCAATTTGTTGGTTGCTTTCGCTTTCAGTTTAAGAGATATTAATTATCGAAAATCGTCGATAAAAATTATCAAGCACCCCCCACTTGGCAATTTTTTCTTAAGAATTAAAATTTCATCTCTCAGATTTCCGTTTAAACTATCCTATCTTATAGAGCATAGTCCGTAGATTAAGACGCTCTTTTAGTTTACGAGATAAACATTGAAAAATGTCACTTTTTAGTATTTTTATTGACGTATTTCTTGGCAATTTTTTTTAAGTATTAAAATTTCATCTCATAGATTTCCAACTTAACTAGCTTATTCCTTTCGTATGCCGAGAAATATTGAAAGTAAAAGTAAATTTCGTGTATGTGTATTTCAACATGGTGAATTTGTGTATAAACAACTTTTTTGTTCGACTGACGCGTCATATCGCTGCATACTGGCCTTGTACCCGGCTACGCGCAGCGCACATAGCAGTTGTTTTACCACGTGGTCCGCGAGCGTGTCTCTCTAATCGCCATGCGTTTTGATGTTTTAATTGGATTAATCGTTGTGTATTCTTTCGGCCATCGGCAAAATATTCGCAATGGGCATGGGTGCCTGTTTTGTTTACTGATTTATGGCGGTTAGAGTCTTCTTATGTGAGAAATAAGTGATAATCTCTGCGCGAGTTTTCAGTTAATGGAATATATTACAGGATAGAAAATCTCCTCATTAATGCAGAGGTGGTTTAACTTAAATTGATTATTCAATTCGAGGGATATTAATTTTTTAGATTACAAACACGTGGTGGCATTTTTCATAAGAATTCTTCTTAGTCGCGTTTCCGAAAATAACATGCTTGATTTAATTATTACAAGCACGGTTTTAAAAAATTATCTGAGGATTATTAATATGACAATATTCATGTGGTCGGCCACGCTTACTTTGCCGTCGGTCGTCGGTTCGGTCATGTTTTCGATGATCACGTAAACATTTTTAACCGTATTGCATCATTAATTAAATAATTTCTTGTTGAAATATAATCTTGAATGGTGAATAGTTTTTGGTTTTCGCAGTTTCAGTATATCTTAATATTTACAAAGAAATAGTTATTTTTATCGTCTTTAACACTGTGTTGCTACGCGCCGTCGCTTGCCGTCTGTTGATTTAGATGTTTTCCGCCAGATATTCAATCAATTTAAGATTATGCTTCACCCGTCGGTTACCTTATACATGTGATGCTACCTTCAAGTAATGTATATATACTCACAATATATTAAAATGTAAGTACCTACAATTTGGTGAATAAAACGTTGTCCTATGCCATCAGGTTCGGCCGCTAGATACCTAAGACAACAAAAATTAGACAACAAAAACCCAAAAAAGGCATTTTCATAAGTTTCCCAAGGGATACGAGTAAACCCACATGTTACATACCTAAATGATAGAGAATTTTAGTACCTACAATTTGGTGAAAAAAAAACGTTGTCCTACGACATCAGGTTCGGCCGCTAGACACCTAAAACAACAAAAATTAGACAACAAAAACACAAAAAGGGCATTTTCATAGGTTTCCCAAGGGATTAACCCACAAGTTACGTAAATGATAGAGAATTTTATTACCTATCATTTGGTGAAAAAAACGTTGTCCTACGACATCAGGTTCGGCCGCTAGACACCTAAAACAGCATAAATTAGACAACGAAAAACACAAAAAGGACACTTTTACCACTAGCCTCGTACGGTGCCCTGAATAAGAGTTACTTCTACCGCTACCTTCATACGGTGCCCTGAACACGAGTCACTTCCACCGGTAGCCTCGTACGGAGCCCTGAACACGAGTCACTTCTACCGCTAGCCTCGTACGGTGCCCTGAACACGAGTCACTTCTACCGCTACCTTCTTACGGTGCCCTGAACACGAGTCACTTCTACTGCAGACCTCGTATTTTATATTTTTATCAGATAGAGAATTTTCCAATCTAAAATCAGCAATTCGTTGGTTGCTATCGCTTTTAGTTTAAGAAATATTCATTATTGAAAATCCTCGATAAAAATTATCCATTTGCCCATTTTTTCTTATGAATTAAAATTTCATCTCATAGATTTCCAACTTAACCGCTTATTCTTTTCGAATGCCGAGAAATATTGAAAGTAAGAGTAAATTTCGTGTATGTGTATTTCAACATTGTGTATTTTTAGTTTCGCTTCTCAACTTCGTGTTTATCAGTATGCTTGTGTATAAACAACATTTTTGTTCGACTGACGCGTGATATCGCTGCATACTGGCCTTGTACCCGGCTATGCGCAGCACACGCGGCAGTTGTTTCACTGCGTGGTCCGCAAGCTTGTCTCTCTAATCGCCACGCGTTTTAAGATTTTAATTGGATTAATAGTCGTGTATTCTTTCGGCCATCGGCAAAATATTCGCATTGGGCATGTGTGCCTGTTTTGTTTACTGATTTATAGCGGTTAGAGTCTTCTTAAGTGAGAAATAAGTGTCCGTTAGACCTTGCGCGAGTTTTCAGTTGATTGAATATATTACAGGATAGAAAATCTCCTCATTAATGCAGAGGTAGGTGGATAATTAAAATTTTTCGCGGAAAACACGTGGTGGCATTTTTCATCACAATTCTTCTTAGTCGCGTTTCCGAAAATAACATGCTTGATTTAAGTATTACAAGCACGGTTATTATTATTATATGAGGATTATTAATATGACAATATTCATGTGGTCGGCCACGCTTACTTTGCCGTCGGCATTTTTAACCGTATTGCATCATTAAATTAATAATTTCTTGTTGATATAAAATCTTGAACGGTGAATAGTTTATCGTTTTTGCAGTCGCTGTATATTTTAATATTTACAAAGAAATAGTTATTTTTATCGTCTTTAACCGCTATGTTTATTTTTGTAGCACCTTTTTGCTCAATTTTCCGATGTTTTTCCGGTAAAATCTCTGATATTATATTAAAATATTGTTATTAATTTGTAAATTTCCCTCTTCATATTGTGAATATTGACTCCCATTTCAGTTTCTAAAATTTTCTTTTTGTAACACACTACATATTAGTTTTCCTAACAGCACGTATAAAATCACCTTTAGTAGTGAGTTTTGAGTGTTCTCTGTTTTGAACATAGAATTTTCTTCCTGGAACACCCGGTATATTAGTTTCCCTGACCGTCGAGTGAAAACAAGCGGCGTTTGTGGTGTTGAGAGTTTTTTGTTTGCACCTTTAAATTTTCCTTTTGTGACACCCTGTATATTTGTTTCCATTTTCAATCACCTAGAAAATTATTAGCTATTTACTAATTTCATTATTCCGGTAGAAATTTATGAAGTAGTACTTGCTGGCATGTGCGCGGCTATGCAGGTCGTAAGTCCTGTTTCAATATCTAAACTTGTATTGTATCAAATTGTATTTGTTAATAAAGAAATTTTAAGAAAGGTTTTGACTTATGGTTTGTATGTAACCCTATCTATCATTTCAGGTACAGGTCTCAAAGAGAGTGCCCTCTCTCAGGGGATGATCCCCACTATAAAAATTGTTAAGGTATCCTGTGTGATTTGCGTGCTAGTTCTTTCATTTCAGCTACAGGTCAGAACTTGTATGAATATTTTTAAGTGGCGACTTGAGGCGACTTAAAACTTAGAAATATTTTTACAAGACCTTATAAGGATTGTCCTTATAAGGAGTTCCCTCTCTCTGGGGGTGATCCCCCACCATAAAAATTGTTGATATGCCTAAAAACCCTGGGGATGAAGCGCAGAGACATCGTAGCTGTAGGATGGGCCGGGAGCAATGGACGCATCGACCTTAAACTGTCTAACGACACGGGCCAAAAAATTTAAAAATCTGATCCTCCCCTGTTCTCTTTCCTCAATCTCCTCCTCTTCTCTACTCTACTCTCTGTTCTCTTCCTATCTTCTCCTATTCTCTCGTTCTACTTTTACTTTCTTACTTCTCCTTATTGCCTTCACTTGTATTTCAATTTCTCTTATATTTCGTTGCAATTCATATATGCAACCCAAATTACACCTGATATTTTTATATTTGGGAAAAATGCCTTCTATACCTGAGATTCGATCCGTGTCCACGGGCATGCTAGCAGGTGCACGTACCCACTCGACCACCGAGTGTTTTTATTATTGATATTTGATTCTTCTATTTATGTTTTTACATTATTCAACTTTGTAAAAACAGCAACGCAGCTCAACGATGTTGCACTCGCTCCACGCGCATAAGATTACACCAGGTATTTCCTAATTGAACTGGAGATCGAACCAACGACCTACGGCACCGTAGCGTATCCTGCGTGCACCTGAGCCGCAACGCTCTCTTATCAAACCTTACTTGTTTTTGTTATTTATATTTACAGTTCTCATGGCTTTATAAAATCATATATGCATATTGTAATATACTCTTAAACTTTTAGTTGTTAAACAAACTTACCTCATCTGACTTATTCTTTATGGGTACAAATACTGCACATCTGTTCAAATGTTTAAAAACAACATCTGAAAACAAATACTTTCATCATACAAATCTGAAATACGACCATTCTCTAACTACTTACCAAATTACGCGTTCTTTTCCAGAACCCACATATAAACGCTATAATATAGGTATCCAAATTATTTCAAGTATACACGTGTTGGACAAATGAAAAACATTTAATTAAAAAATAAATTATAAACATATAAAACAAATACATGTAAAGATGTTTCCAAATATTACTGGCGATATAAACGAAGAAGAGTTAAAATTTGAAGTAAGATAATAATCTAATGTATTTACACATTTCTAAATGGTCTTGCGTTATTTCCCTTAATATAAATAACAAGATGCAGTTTATTATATATATTTACTCAAATCCTTATAAGATAAAACGAAATAAATAACGAATATATTACGCAAATTGTGTGTGGACAGTTGGACTATGTTCCTACTCACAATCGTTTAATATAAGTAGTATGTGTACGAATTAATTATAATGGAGTACATCACAATTTCAGTTCCCAAATAACAATGTGAGCGTCATTACTGTTGCGTCCAAGAAGACTACCATGTTTATTCTTGTCCGCCGAACAACACGGCTGTCGCCAATTAACATATCCTCTGCCACCCATAATGGTTATAACGGTCCTGCGGCTATCTAGTGGATTATTACGAATCAAAGTCTTGGAATTGGTGTTGTTATTACTAGTGTTCTTCGGTTTTTCTTCCACTTCTTCAACGCCATCTAATTGTCTGCTTACATTCGAATTGTTGCGAGAGACGCTGCGTCCCAAGTTGCGAGCCATGCTCTCTTCACTCCCAGAGGAAGTGTATACACTCGAACTTCTCGAATCCACCGACCAATTAGAAAGATCCAGAGAACGCGGCCGGCTTACTTTCATTTTCAGTCTTCTGTCTAGCGTACTCACTTTCGCTGGAATTGCTGCAAGTTCCGGATCAGATCTTCGTAACGGTTCGTACACTTGGTCCGCGATGTGGTCTTCGCCGTCATAATCCTTAACATACATGAGTTGACCGTATAACCCATATACGTCGCAGGTATCACCTGAACCCTGACTGGATGTGGTGCTTGTTGAAAACTTGGACGCGCCACTGCCGAGACCGCGTGGCAATGTTTTAAACAATCTCATCTCATTTTCCTTCGACCGTCTTCGCCGCAAAACGACTGGACTATTAGTTAAATGGTGTCTAAGTTTGGCAGTGCCCTCTGTATCTGATAGTTGTTTCTCAATAGTCGGCTTAGTCGCTTGCACGTTCTCATTGTCATCTATCTTTGTATAATTTACATAATTCTTTGGTTGCAGTGCAATGAGAAATGATATTGGTCCGAAGTGTGCGTGATATGAGATGTTTACGCGACCGCTTATAATTGGTACCCCTTCTAAACGTGGGAGTGGGATAGTTAAGCAAATCCCGACGTTCGTGCCCACCCATAGAAGACCTTTGCAAGCCAATAATGAAGTGACATTAACATGTGATCGATTGTTGTTGAGACAATCATTACTGGACCCGTTTGTTGTAACGCGCATAACATTGGATGCAATGTTTATGTCCTGTAGGTGCTTAAATGTTTCGGTATGGTAAAGGCAGATCGTGCTTGAATTTTTAAGCGATATCCATAAACCGACGCCACTATGCGCCATCAGATTTACATTGCCAACGTGCTCATGCTGAACGCTGAAATCCTTCTGTATTTCTCCACTAATGCCGTTTAAGACCCAGACCTTTTTACCGCAAGCGGCGTACAGGCAGAGATTTATCGGTAGTAAACTCGACACCGGGTCGCCACCTAAAACTTTAACTTGCGGATCTTTCAGTATCCAGGAGCCATCAATCGGATTTCGTCTATATATCAGCAATGTGCCGTTGTTTAGAGCAACAAACACATTGTCACAGTGATATTTTATTTGCACGATGCTATCATTCACAGAGCAATGTGCGAGTTCCTGCTGCAGTTCTGGTTCGTCGGCCGAATAAAGTATCACTTTTCTGCTGCTAGTACCCATCCATACAGTATCGGTAGCAAGAATCGGACATGGTGATGAACTGCCTTTCACAAATTCAATAGCAGTGACCTGCGTTTCAACAAGCGAAAATGAACAAATTTCCTTCAGCGCGCCCGATTGTTGCGCGTGTTGAGACAAGATGGCAATATGCGAACTTGCGCCATCCGTTGTGCACACCCACAAATAACTTTGATACTTGTTTCTTCTCCGCGAACTCACTTTCGGTGTGTATGTTGTGTAGTAACATCCGCAGCGCACCTAAATAATAGATACATAACATTATTCACCAATCAAACAAAGGAGTAATAATTTATAATAGGCTATAAATATAAAACCATCCTATACCTCGGTTTGATGCTGCGATTTGAACACCGACTGTGATTTGACGAACAGTGGCAACTTCGTACTAGGTCGAAGCTCTTGTTCGGGAACTTCCCACGCAGGCGAATTGCTCGGATCTAACGCTAATTGCGCTAGCCGCAATTCCGTAACCCATTCCTTCTTAATGCCCGGATTATCCGTCTGGAAAGTAAACGTCTCCTCTTTGCCCTTCGATTTGACAATGATTTGCAAGCAGCACGAATCAACCCACGCCATCTCTTCGTCCTTGTGCTGAATTGAACTCTGAATTTGATGCAATATCTTTTTGGTGGTATCAGCACTGATCTCCTTGTAAGTGCCTCGCAACGAACCAGCCAGTTCAGCAATCCGAGACAGTACCTCGTAGTCATGCATCAGATTACTCATCTCCGTGGCAATATTGTCCACTTGCGGCTGAGTTCCATCGAATGATGCGTTTGACTTGAGACTGCCATTTTTATTTGTACCAGAAGAAAGAATACGCGTCAAATTTGGAGACGATATGGTGTCCTGTATTTCAACATCAGTCACTGGATACATCCATTTTAAACTCAAGCGTTCGCTAACGCCAAAATCATCGCTTGAACGCGCTGCCACAGACACGCACACAACCAAGTCATTAAGCAAAAGTAGGCGGCGTCGTTTGGCTTTTGTGATTAAACCGCATTGATTAAATTCCTGTGAAAATTATTAGAATCTTATTTTAGTAAACATAAAATTGAAATATGAAGAATTTACCAATTGTGTTGCGTTATCCTCTCGTAATAGGTACCGATTGCCATCAGAGAGTGGTCTCGATGAAAATTTGCCGCTGATGTGACGCAGCATTTCTTTGAAAGCCTGGAATTGTTCGGCCTCCCTTTTCCTCTCATTGAGCATCTCCGCAAGAGATTCCAATTGAGTAAGGGCCAACTGCAGAGACATTCGATCGTGATGTCCTTGCGGTGTATGTTTGAGTAAGTCCTAAAAACCGACGATTATAAAAATTCATTTAAATTTAAAATTGCAACAAGCTTACTTGTAGAAAAAGTATAAATTGAGGAAATCTCTGAACCGGTTTAACCATTAATCCAAAAAATGATAGCCTATCATTTGAGCTTATTTGTTTCACCTAGAATTCGAATAGTCTGTTGTTAGCAATGAACTTAGTGCAAGAAAATAAAGTTTTACCTTGAAAAAATCGGCTAATGCTGACTTCCTCTTTGCCTCCATCTTGGCGAGATCCATAGCCACAGAAAAATTGTTGATAAACCCGCTGTAAATATCTAGAACGATCGCTTTCGAAAACGACGCAAAAAACACGTCTCCGATGCGTTCATCCCTATCCCAATTCTTGACGTTTTCGGCTAACGCCACGCGAAAAAGCGTATGGCACTGTAGAATTTCGGACAGTTTATAAAAAAGGGTTGCTATCTTAGATGAGCTGAGAATGGGTGGCGAGCTATCCTCAAGCGGCTTCTTGTAATCGTTGACCAGTTTATGTAATGTTGCGACGTACGAATTCTCGCTGTGCACTATGGCGGCAATAATTGCACGACGTTTGATCTGCGGTGGTGTGAGATCTGGCGGAGGCGGCGGTAGCGAAGGTGGAATGAGACGCCGCTGTTGCGGCATGCAGTTCAGAAAGGACGTTTCCTCCTCAACTTCTTGCAGTTGCGGCATTTGCTTGGTGCCTGCGGACTGCGACCGAGTCGGTGACTCGGCGCCACTATTATCGATGTCATATTGATGCGACGAGCCGCGTCGCATACTAAATAACCGCGACAGAAGACGCCCCTGTGATCCAACGTTTGTCGTGACCGCATCCAGCGGCATCGTGGACGATTCCATGCTCATTTTGGGCCCGCCACCAAGTCCACCGCTGCCACGCAATTTGTCACAGAGCGTGCGTGCTTTGCTGAATGTACTTCTCAATTGGCCATTGTGGCGGCTAATCGAAGTGCTACTGCGTTCGCTTTCCTCGTCAGACGAGATATCCTGTTCCGAGCCCGAACACCAGCTATCTTCAGAGCTGCGTTGTGACGCCGAATGCTGCAGTGACCGATTGTGCATGAGCGGCGGCACCATTCTGCGCTCACATGTTGAGTCTTCCCAAACGCCCGAACGAACTCTTGGCTCATCTGCAATCGAAAAAACTAATATTAATAATAATACAAATAATAATAATACAAGAAATGTACTGTTTTTGTTCTGCGAGCAAACGAAAACAAACGGGCAAGACAGCTCGTGAAAATAGTAGAAGCATCAAAATTATTCGTGTGCAATCGTGATATAACAGCATACGCTGAAAATTAATTATTCATTCACGTTATGCAATTAAATTCATAGCCATGAAACTAGTTGCGCTTATTACTTGTTGTTCCCGTCCTGACGCCACCGTGCACATGAACACCGCGTGGTGGTGCGACGTACATTTATCTATTTATTATTATTAACGCACTGTTTCGTTCCTCGTATTGTATCAAATAAGTACGGGGAAACATAAAGAGAACATTGTTCATACGTTAATTAAATGAGACCTTGCAAAGATCACAAAACAGTCAAAGGCAAACAGAACTTAATGTGTAACCCAAACGCGCATTTAAAAATACAACTTCTATATTACTTTCCAAAGATGGACGATAATATTACTTAAATATGATAAGTTAACCATATAAGCAAAATTGATTCGTAACAGCTTTTTACATTGCATGTTGTGGTAATTACAGATAAATACATTAACAGCCATGGGAAAGTTATCAATTAACGCATTAATTTATCTGTCTATCGCTATTGCCATTTTAGTAGTCATGTAAACTGGATGTGGGCATCGGAAATGTATCATACACTTATATTTGATTATCGGCAAATTACCATTGTCTGCCTGTACTGCTACGATATTACCATATGCGAAAAATGCTAATTTCTATCCACAAGTATCCCATTATCATCAAGTTATGTCCAGCAAGCATCAATCGTTTCCCAAATAAGTGTATCTGCCATTTAACTTGATCAGGTTTATATTCCAGTTCATAAATAGATTGCATATTGCAACTACATTGTTAATTCGTGAACCTAACATGTTATAAAGTTCATTTAACCAGGCAATTAATTAAATAATAGTAAAGACAGATCTTACAGATAGTCTCCTCTTTTTTGTTAGTTTGCAAAATGGTGTGGAATGTACAAATGTGAACGAGGTCATATTATCCAATTATATTAAATTCTCAAACACTCATTGACGTGCGTCTACATAAAACGTCTCCGCCATCTTATTGAAACCGAAGCATAAGCTAATACAGAGCGATGAATCATAGAAATGTCGAATGGAACAATGAACATGTTTATATTTGTTATCGTTATAATAATTGGTTGCATTATGCGGTTGATACATTTTAATTTCGCATACAAGACATCAGAATAAGACCGGATGCACATTATTAACGATAATACATTGTGATTTCTTATTATTATTATTATTATTATGTTGACTAGTATTGCGCTCAGTGTGAAGAAAAAAGCTCTCCTAATGTTTACTAATTGAACTTTAGCTCGACTTAATTGTTCTCAATTTAATTTCCCCTCGTTCGAGTTCACGTACTTTATAAAGTCGTATGAACTTGCAGATCTAGTTAATATTATATATTGAGTGAATCAACAACAACCGCAAAATGTAAAAATTACTCATTTCTTTAATTTTATAAGTAAAACTTTCCAAATATTTCGCTTGTAATAACCACGCACAAAACAGCGAAACTATTTCTGTAACAAAGAACAAGTAATAAAGTACTAAAGTACGCGTTTTGAACGTGATGCTTGCAGCTTGTGTTTTCTTTCGCTTGCCCATTGGCATTTTAATCATCCACTTGACTATTTTAAGCCGCTCACATCAAGTGCCAATGGCTGTGTACGCACCTCGAGAAAACACAAATATAGAGATCAAGACCTGCCGATGATTGCGGTATATGTTCTATCAGACATGAATTTTCTCACATCGTTGAAATGAAATGTGCTCGTCCATGCTTACATCTATCGACATTCGATTGGAAAATTGTATATAGAGAAGACAATAATGTGCCCGAATTCCCCGCAGCCATAGGTTACATAGGTAAACGTGCAAAGACCGCAGAAACATATCCGCAATCTATATATAGGTGCATCCAGCACACTGCGTGAATATCCCCAAGCAAATTCCCAATAGCAATAGAAATCGCAAGTCCATCCAACCTCATGTCGAACAGCACGAGAGGTAAATAAACGGAAGAACAAATGCGGAAAACTATAACTAAACATTACCTTTCGAGCGCTGACAGCTAGCAATTTAGTAAAGCATAAAGCATATTTATTACAGATAAATATTTGCCTAAAATATACTTTGCCAGTAGGTCTTAAAAAAGCAAACTTGATCTAGTTAGTTTAAGAGGTAAATCAAGTCAAAACAGAAATGTTTCCGAGCTCCAAAAGTGCGATCAGAAATTTTGAAGTAATTTGCAACTTTAATTAATTGCCGCCACCGGTAAAAATTGCCGCAAGCGCTCCTTAATAGTAATACCTTTGTGCAAAGTTTTAATTAGTCCACGCACAGCGAGAGTTTCTGCGAAAAATTGTCACTCATAAAGTCGACAACTTTCATTGTTTCAGCCGCGTCGCAGAAAATGGAAGCATAATTAGAAAGTTTGATTCGAGCAAAAAAAGTGCAAGATATTGGCGTGACTTGTTATCCAATCTTTGTCGAACGAATTCGTAATTGTCGTTTTATTTCTAGAGTGCGTTTGTGTCAAATGCACTGTGCTAGTTTCAAAATAATTACGCGCGCTTTCAACAAATACAATTCGGTGTTGGGTCGTTTAGTTTAAACTATGTGCGTTCCAAATTGACACCAATTCTTAATATTTATGTCGTCGATATATACCACGATTGACAAACGTCTTATCAATAAATTGTTTACAGTGAAGTGCTATGAGCATGCACTAGTTTTTGCAAGGTTGACTTGCATCATTTATAAATATAAACGTTATTAATTCGCCGATCAGCAGATATCAAATAATTTTGCACTGAGACAACTTTAGAATTTGCATATTGACGGAAATAAAAACAAAAGAAAGGTGCCAAAAAGAACACAGCAGCTTAAAATTCAATAAAACAAAGCGGTTATTACAAACCTACATGAATATGCGTCGGTTAAATGATCAGCCCCCTTCTGCTTTATGTAATGCGTTTACGTCCACTTGTGTGGCGCACTTAGCACTCCGCACGGAAAATCACAAACTCTTAGCACTTCGTGTGTGCAGCACTCTCGCGATCTTCACCGTCAAACGGGCTTTTACCGAGCTCGCGCGCACGCCGAGGAATCCGCTGGCAGCCACGAACGCGACCGGTTTCAGAGGTAACTCGCACGAAACTGCTCGCTTCTCGCGTGCTCGCCCGCCCGCTGGAGAATTCACCGCGCGTATCTCGCGTCTCTCGCGCACTCCTCACGACTCGCTCGGTCCACGAGTCCGCGTGTCCAAGACGGACACGAACGCAGCTGGGGGCGATGCACAACTGACCGTCGCGAGTTGCAGCGCTACTGGCTGACGGCACGCGTTTTCGTGCATAATAATATCATTTATTCGACATGCAGACTGATCGCCTGTGGCTGGATGTGGTCGCTAGCAATGGATCACGATTAATAATAACAAAAGTTTTATTGGGCGTTTATTATTCTTGAACTTCATTGAAAACCACAAGTCGCATGAATGAATTTGTAATACACAAGGAAATATTCCGAGTATTTAGATTAATTGCACGCGCGCTGTCGCCCTTTGTTTCAATGTTTCTGCAATGACAATACATCACCTCCGCACGAATCTCGCACGCTCATGCTGGCTTCCTGCTGCAATATATTCAAGATTGCAAGTTGCGCCAGAGGCAGCAAACAGGCGCCTAGCGTGTGTCGGCATTTTACCTACATACCGCGCAAGGTGACTTCCAATTCCCTTTACGTAAGAGACGTAAGACGTGTATAGAAAGCAAAACATCGATTAGCAAATTAACAACGTTTTCGAGTCGGCGAGATACTAAGACAGCACCTATTTGCATAATTGCATGTACAATCATAATAAACCTTGTTAGAATAAGTAAATTAGCAATTGTTTTTCGCATGTTAGAGTATATCCGCACACAAAGCTAATTAATCAAACAGTATATATTTCGAATGCAGTTTACCAATGTCAGCTATTATTGGCGCCCTGTCAGCAGGCGACAATGCCGCTGACCATTCATTTCAATTACGCAGGAAAAAGAGAAGTTACTGTGAAAAATTGTCATGTCGAACGCGAATTGTCTCGAACTGAGACGGAATCAATTCGGCATCGGCCTAAAAATAAAGCGATTTAAATGTCATCGCGTAGGATGACCAACTCACCGGTTACCGGGTTCGCATACTTACGATATGTGTAGGTAATTATGTATGTAAATCTCGCATTGTTAAAAATTATGTTTAACTAGCTCCAGTTACACAACAATGTGCAAGAAACAACACATCATTTTGTTTAAAAAATAAAGATATAAATAATGAACGCACATTTTACAAAAGAGTTGTTTTAATTTATGCATTTTACTTTTTTTGTAAAAAATACGTCCTAGATGTTCTAGAATTTTCTTCAATTATTATGCTCTCCTTCTGTTCACAATAAAAATAATAAGTATAACTCGAAGATCATTCACGCTGCGCGTCTGTAACTATCTCCGTTATTATAGACTGAAATAGACACAATGCAAGCAAGTCCTTAATACAATTAATCAATACATTGTCGCAAGTGGGCTGGCATGATATTTGCCATGGATAGACGAGAAGAATCCAATTCCTTCTTCCTCTATATCTCTAACATTCGTATTTTATTTGTATTTACCTCGCTCAGGCAGCTAATTCATCGTATAAAAGAAAGGCAATCAGATAAATGATACTAAACAAAATTGATACTCTTCAATGTCAATGCTGCCATCGATAAATAATGTTTTAACAGTAAATAAAAACATATTCGCACTCCGTAACAATTTCTACTTTATATCTTCAATTAAATAAACGCAATGTTTTAAAAAGTGAAGTCATAATATCATATTTATTTAGGGCCCTTTAAAATGTTGAATGCTGGTTGTG